ATTCTGGGAGTTGAAGTCCACTCATCTTAAAGTGGCCAAGTTTGGACAACACTGATCTACCAGAAAAGCACATTGGCAAGAGAAATGCGAGACTTTGTGGGCGAGAGGCGTCATTTGTGTGCTGTCAAGTTTCCATCGTTTATATAGAGCAGGTTTACATAGGACAACGCTTGAGATAACTTCCACGCACCTAGGGCACGAGCTGAGCTTTATCATAACTGCAAAGGGTTCAACAAGTGGCAGTTTTCTCACTATACCGTCTCAGGGCTAGCAAAGACTCTTACCAAGTGAATTTGCACTGCTTTCATCCTGCTTCCTGTAAAACGAGTATTCCTCCTTGCGAGGACAACAACCGTTGAAGAATTTGCCTGCTTTACCGCCGCGGCAATCCCTGGTGCACACCTCCCTAGTCAACCCGGGTTGACCGACGGAACTCTGCAAAACATCTTCAGTCTGTCTCTACCCTCCAGCCCAAGCAAAGCATTCCTCCTCCTCCTCCTCCTCCGGTATTCCAACGATTTCCCTACTAACACTGCCCTCCCACCATTATTCTGTAGCGCCACGATCCAAACCTGCCGCCCTCCCATCTTCCTACCTCTCTGCCGCGCCTGTATTTGAAAGCAGCAATCATGAGATCACCGAGCTATCCGGTATGAGCAGTCCACAATCCGCAGGGCACTTGGCTTTGTCCAGGCGGGCTTTAGGACCCAGAGAGTAACGGGAAAGCCCGGACATCCATGCTAGCTTCGGAGAGACTTTACAACGGCTATTTCCGGTTAGAGAACAACTAGCCGCTCACTCAGCGGCTTCGTTTCGTCTTCCGGTCCATTGGAAGAATGTGAAATTGTGACGTAACGCGTTCCAAACGGGAGAATTATTCGCCCACGCTCTGTTTGCTTCAATAGACTAAACAGAGCATGCGCTAAAGGTGTAGGTTGCGAGCAGTTCGCTCCCGCTCTCTTTGCCGCTTTAAGAAATTATACGTGCCGTTACCGAGTTGACACTAATAATGGATGGGGAGGAAAATAGATGTGTGAGTTGTCTCCGTAGTACTAAGTAGTCTAGCGCTATGCATGGTTATTAAAAAGTTAGTATCAAAATCAGAAATAAACCTTGGATTTATGTTGCGAATTTTATTAGAATATATATATACTGCCAACTCCAGACAGCAGTCTTGCCAAGTGTCGTTTGAATACGACGGGATATAAATATGTTTAATTAAGTGGATTTTGTTCACTGAGTCCATATGCCATAATAAATTATTTCTTTTCAAGATATCATGTTGCAAAACCCCAGATGGAACAATCTGTGGTTAACTCTTCTGGTCCTACACTGTCTCCACAAAATACAGGTAGTCTAATCTGCTGCTGTATATGATTACTGAAAGCAGCCCTAGTTTCCTAGGGAGCAGTGTCTTGACCAAGTCGCATCAAAATTAATAATAATAATAATAAAAATCCACAGTGGTCCAGTCAAAGAACCACCACAGAACCAGTACTTTGTATACCCATTTCACTCAGGGAGAGGTTTAAAAAAGAAACAAGGAAAAGTGACTGCAAATGGAGCAACCCGTTTTGTGCTCACTATAGCTTCCTGTAGTACCTGTGTCTGGAGGTCAGAAGAGACTGTTAACTTCAAAGTGTTTCTTTTTGTCAGGACCAAACAGTATGGAGGGTCAGGGTTTAGGTGAGTTAACCAACAACAAATCTTAAGTTAAAGTGATGGTTAAGTTGCTTCATCTTAACCTGATGACTTAAGAGCTGAGTTTATATGACATGCTAGCTTTAAAAGGAAGCTATTTTAATCTCTTAGGTCAATGTTGTCATAGAAAAAAAGAACACCACCAAAACTGAGGACTGAAGTGTGTCTACTATTCCTGGCCTATTCCTGGAGGAATGGGATGTAAAATGGGAATTGTAAGAATATAGGGGGAAACTCAGCTTTCTACTACTTCTGCACAATGGTTACAATCCAATTTGAATAATTGCAGGTTTTAATTTTTAATTTATTTTAGAACAAACAAATGCTTAATTTATTTTGGAACAGTTAGCTTGCCAGACATCTCTCAGGTTTCTATGATACTGGTTGAAAAGGAAGATTGTCAAATTAGAGCAAGCTATTTATTTAGCAAATTTATATAGATGCCCATCTCACAGAATGTGACTGTGACTGTGACTGTGAATGTGACCATCTCACAGCCACAATAACAAAACAATGTAATGATCATTAAAACACTTAAAACATAAGAAACATTTTAAAAAACAAGATTTTGGGAGAAAAACAACATAATACAACCACCTCACAGCTCCCCATGGGATCCCCAAGACTGCTGGAAAAACCCAGTTTTAAAGGCTTTCTGGAGGGCTAACAGGGACAGGCCTAACCTCATCTTGGGGGGAATGATGTTCCAAAGAGTGGGAGCCACAGTGGAAAAGGCACATCTTCTGGGTCCCAACAGATGGAACTCTTTAGCAGATGGGATCTGCAACCCTCCTGCTGGACCTAATGGGACAGGTAGATGTACAGTGGCACCTCTACTTAAGAACTTAATCCGTTCCGTGACTCTGATCGCAAGTCGAGTTGGTCGCAAGTCGAGGTAAATT